GCAGAGAAAGGGCGGCGCGTGGGGAGGGAGGGAGGCGAGCGGGCATGCATGCATGCCGGCTGCTGCTTAGGCCCCGGCCAAGCGTCATGCCAGGCCCCATCCCACTCCCACCGCACCCCCAAGGGCATGCCGCCTTCGGGCTCGCCCCGCTCCGCTGAGCCCTGCCCCGCCGCCAGGGCCGGCTGCATCACCCCATCCCACAGCGCCCGCAAACACACGCAAGCACACACCACACACCACCCGCCACCCTCCACCTGCACATGCATGGCCACGCCCTCAAAGCGAATGTGAGCCTCCAGCTCCAGCCCTGCCGCCTCCCCCGCCGCCAGGCGGCCCGCGGCAGGCAGCGCGGGCAGGCCTGCGATACGGCGGGAGGGCGGGCACGCAGGTGGGCGGCAGTAGTGAGCACGGCAGCAGGTGGCAGCCTGGAGCTTCCTCCAAAAGCCGCATGGTGGCCGAGAAGCCGCCGCCATCCCTCCCAATGCCGCCCAGGCCTCAGCCTCAGCGCCCTCCCCATCCCGCCAACCCACCTGCCAGGGGCTGGCCCGCGTGGAAGGCGTGGCGCAGCCAGCGGCGGTCCGCCGCCACATGGCGCCACCCGCTCTCCCGCTCCTGGTCTGCCCCAGCCTCTGCCTGGGCACCGCTGGGCGGAGACAGGCAGCGTGCCGCCAACAGGAACTCACAGCAGAGCGAGGCGCCAGAGGTGGCGGGGTAGGAGGGCCCGCCCAGCCACTGCAGGCGTGGTGGGGTGGGGGCGGCAGGCGTGACGTGCTTGTGGCAGCGGCACCGGGGCTGGCGTCGAGGCACGGGGCGCATGCTGGTGGCACATGCAGGGCGGGCCGGCGGCGGGCGGCGCCTGTGCCTTGCCACAGCTGGCCTGCCGCATGAGCAGCAGGCGCCTGCACTCTGAGCAAGTCGCGCCCTCTCTCATCAGCCATCGCTCACCCTCAGGGAGACGCCCAGCGTGGGCCCGCGCCGGCCGCGCCCCGCCGCCGCCGCCTCGCACACCAGGCACCAGCGGTGCTGCTCCACCAGGCCGCGGCAGGCGGCGGGCAGGGCGGCGCGGGGGATGCGGAAAGGCAGGGAGGTGCACTGGGACCCGCGGGCACGCGGCTCCCCGCCGCTGCCGCGGCCGCCGCCGCCGCAGGCTTCCAGGCTGGGCAGCAGCTCGGAGAGGCGCAGGCGCCAGGTGAAGCCTCCCTTGCCTGCACCTAAGGAGTGGTGCTGGCACCAGCTGGTCAGCAGGGGTGCACAGTCAAACACTCTGAGGGGAAAGGAAGGTAGGTGGTGCACACCAGCGCCGCCCTGCTGGCGAGCGCCGCCCCTCGGACGGCCGGCGAGCGGTGCCTGGTCGGCAGCAGCCACGGCTGGACCCTCTGCAGCCTCCCACAGGCATGCAGCGCTCCCACGTGCCTTCTGACACCTCCAGGATGCCCAGGTGCAGCTCAACCCCTGCGCTGCTGCGACTGCCATCCTCCCCTGCCCCCCTGGCACCCCTGTCGCTGCCCCGCGGCTGCTCAGGCGTGGCCAGCCCAGCCGGGTGGCTGCCAGGCGCCTCCCCCTTCCCCTGCTGGCCGCCCATGGAGGACAGGGAGCCCCCCATCACGCAGCAGGCGATGGCACGCGATCACAGCAAGACTCTCCGGTCCCAGATGGAAGGAAGCGCTGGCCGCGCCGCGCGGCGGCGGCCCGCGTGGCGCCACAGCGTCCGAGGTTGCGACGGCACAACATGGAAGGCACGCGGGGTTGCCGCCTCTCGATTTTTCAAACCACACCATGGCCAGCCTGCCTCTACGGTGCGTTACAGGAAAGACAAGGAAGGCGGGCAGCGCAGCACAGGGGGCAAGGGCAGGGCGCGGCTGACGCCACGGCGCAACAACGCGCATTCGGCGTCCGGCCCTGCTTTGGGGTGGACGTGGCGGCGGGCCGCTGCGGCGCTGCTCAGAACATCTGCACCGTGTCTTGCAGCGGCATGCGGCACAGCGGGCACTTGCCGTCCGCCTGCGCCGCCGGCAGGCAGCGGGTGCAGATGCACATGTGGCCGCACGGCACGCACAGCACGCGCCTGCGGGGAGGGGAGGAGGCAGGGGGCCAGCCAGCTTGGCGCCACGAGCTGGAATGCATCAGCCAGGCAGCCCCTCACACAGCAGGGGAGGTGTGCTGGCAGGCAGGTGCGCGCAGGCCAGGCAGGTGCGCGCAGGAGCGGGCGGCACGCAAACCCTGTCCCAGCGGCAGGCCATCCAGCGCAGCGACGTCAGGCAGAGCAGGCACAGCGTGAGGGCAGAGCAGGCACAGCGTGAGCGTGAGCGGTGCTTGCCTGACATCAGCCATGCAGATCACACACTCGTTGTCAGGAGACAAGCCGTCGTGGTGCACGCCCTGCGCCGCCGCCGCCGCCGCCATGGCCGCCGCCGCGGCCGCCTGCTGCTGCATCGGCAGCGCGCCCGCCTGCTGCAGCAGCGGCAGGCCCCCGAGGTGGCCGTTGGCCGGCAGCAGCTGCGGGGCGGCGGCGGCCGCCGCCACCGCGGCCGCGGCCGCCGCTGTCTGCTGCTCGCGGCGCCGCCGCCGGTGCTGCAGCTGCGCGAGCGTGGCCTCTGCGCCCTCCAGGGCTGCCTCCTGCAGGAAGGCACGCAGGGAGCGCGCCTCCGCGAGAGCCGCCTCCAACGCCGCCTCAGCCTCCCTGGTGCGCCGCTCCGCAGAGCTGGGCTGCCTGGCCGCCTCCGGAGGCTCATCCGAAAACAAGTCGTCGGGCAGGGCTGCCGCAGGGTTGGCCCGCCGCTCTGCCGCCTCCTCCGCAGCGCACGCCTCCTCAAAGCCGGGCGACAGCACCTCGGCGGCGGCGGCGGCGGCGGCGGCGAGGGCCGCGGCGGCGGCGGGCGCGCGCTGCAGCTTGCCCAGCAGCTTCTTGCCGTACTTGACAGATACCCCCGCTGCAGGCAGGCGGTACCAGGCACACGGCAGGGCCGGGCCGGGGGAGGGTGAGGGATCCAAGGAGGAGTCCGGTGCCAGCAGACCGCAGGCGCAGCAGCAGCAGCCCGCGTGTGTGTGTTCCCCAGCCCAGCGGGCCCTGCCAGGCGCAGCGCAGCGCCGGCCCCACCTTCTGCCACTCCCGGCATCTGCTGCTCTATGAGGCCCCCCAGCCGCTGCTGCTCTTCGGGATCAGCGCCGCAGGCCGCCGCCTCAGCAAGCAGCGCCTCCCACTGGCGCCTGCAGGGGCCAAGGACGCAGGAAAGGGGAGGGCAGATGATGTAAGCAGGACCGCGCGAGAGGTCGTGCGCAGGGGACAGGCGACACACAAACATGCACTCTGGTGTAGCAGCAGCAGCAGGATGGCGGCGCTTGCCTGAGCTCAGCATTGGGGTCCTCTCGCTCTGCTGCTGCTGCTGCCTCTTCCGCCGCCGCAGCAGCAGCCGCAGCCGCCGCCGCCGCAGCAGCAGCAGCTGCAGCCTCCTGCTGCGCCTGCTGCTGCTGCTGCTGCTGCTGCTGCTCAGCAGGCGGCGACTCGTGCCGGCCGTTGGCGCTGCTGCTGGCGCTGCGCTTGGGCCGTGCTTTCTTGCCGCCGCCGTTGGCGGCTGCTTCGGCCGCCGCGCTGCGTGCAGCCTGGGCGGCAGACACCACCACCGCTTCAGACTGCGGGTGCAGCACGGCGATGAGCGAAGCCAGTGGGCCGCTGCTGCTGGGGCTGGGGGCCGCGGGAGGCGTCTCCGGCTGCTCCTGCTCCTGCTGCCTCGGCTGCGACTGCCTGCCATGCTGCGGCCGCGACCGCTGCTGCTGCTGCTGCTGCTGGTCCCCGTGCGGCTGCTCGGCTCGGTGCTGCACGGCATGCGCCTGCTGCTGCTGCTGCTGCTGCTGCTGCGCCGCCTGCTGCTTGGGCTGCTGCTGCTTGCTCTTCTTCCCTTTGCCGCCCTGCTTGCCGCCGCCGCCGCCGCCGCCTCCTCCTCCCACAGACGCCTCCTCCAGCTCAGCCAGCAGCGCGGCCATGGCTGCATCCGCCTGCTGCTGCCGCTGCCGCAGCTCCTGCTCGCTGGCCGGCCCCTGCTGCGCCTGCTGCGCCGCGGAGCCGCCGCCCGCGCTCTTCTGCCGCTCGCGCATGCGCTGCCGCTGCTGCAGGCGCCGCAGCGCCTCTGCTGCCCGCGTGTACCCTTGCTTCATGGCAGCCTGTGCCACGGAAGGCAGGCAGGCAGCACAGCACCACACCTCTTGAGCAGGCCGGCAGGCCAGCCGGCAGGCAGGCGCTGGTGCAGGCGAGAGGTGGAACACGCTCTCGGGACGGAGCATGCAGCAAAGCGCGCGCAAAAACATGGACTACATGCATCGCCCGACGCAGGCAGGCAGGGCGGGCAGCGTGCTGGGGCGGGTAGGCAGGGGCAGCAGCATGCTGAGGCAGGCGAGGCGGGGGCGCCCCACCCACCTCCACAGGGTCGTCCTGCGTCTGCGGGTCGACGTGGAAAGCATCGGCGCCGTGCAGGCCCAGCACTGCAGGGGCGGCGCGGCGGGGGCAGGCCGGGGCGAGGTGACAACGCTGGCGGTGTCGGGCAGGGTGGGGGGAAGGCAGGCTGCGAGGCGGGCAGGGCGGGCAGGGAAGGCAGGCGTGGCGCGAGCAGCTGCCTCGGGCCGCCGCGGCGGCGCTGGCTGGCCCGCGGGCCTGCCCTCACCCGGTATGCAGTCCAGCGCGTTGAACTGGCCGCAGTACCAGATGGGGGTGGCGCCAAAGGAGTCTGCAGGGGTGCAGGGCAGGGGGCACGCAGCGTGGGCAGCGTGGGAGGCCAGCAGAGAAAGCGCAGACAGAAGACGTCCCATCCCCGAGCCCTCCACGCCATCCCAGCACTGGGCAGCGTGGCCAGCTGCCACACACTCGATACCCCATCCACCAAGCACTGCCGCCTGCAGCGCACAACACCTCCCGCGCCGCCCCGCATGCCGCTGCCCCACAAGCCGCCGCTGCTCGCACCTGCGCGATTGGGGTCGGCGCCCGCCGACAGAAGCACCTCTGCCACCGCCGCACGGTCGGCCAGCACGGCCACGATCAGCGCGCTCTGCCCCCGCACATCCTGCTGGTCGGGGCTGGCGCCCACCTGCAGCGCACGCAGCGGCGGCCAGCGGGTCGGCAGGCGGGAAGGCGCCGCGACCGGCGTCGGCCGCTGGTGGCGGCAAAATGCGCCGACGCCAGGTCGCGGCGCGAGCAGCAGCAGGGGCAGGGCAGGCCCACGTGGGAGCCTGCCCTACCTGCCACCCGCCGCCCTCCACAGGCCCCAGCCTATGTCAGCCGCCAAGGCAGCAGCCCCGGCGCCGCCGCGGCGCCGCCACCGGCCCCACACCTCCAGCAGCGCGCGCACGACGTTGACGTTGCCGCCGCTGGCCGCGTGCAGCAGGGCTGGCCCCTGGTGCCCGTGCTCGTCCACCGCATCCAGGCTGGCGCCCAGGCCCAGCAGCGGCTTGACCACCGACGCCTTGCCCAGCTGGGCCCCCAGGATGAGCAGCTGCCCCGCGGCCTCGCAGCGGTAGAAGTCGTCGATGTTCTCCTCCAGCGCCAGCTCCCGCCACGCCGCCGCCAGCCGCTCCGCGTCGCCGGCGGACACCGCGGCGACGAGCGTGCGCGCGGCGGCGGTGTTGGCGTCGAAAATCCAGCTGGGCGTGCCGGGCTCCACCTCTGGGTGGTCCTCATACCGAAAGTCGCCTGCTCCGGGACAAAAGGCGGCGTGCAGGGCCCGTCGGGGCACAGGCAGCAAGCATACGGCCGTGCACTGCGCGCAGGCTGGCCGTCGCCCGGCGTCGCCGCCGCCGCCCGCACCTTGATCGAGGTAGTCGGCGATGTCCTCGGCCAGCAGGTCCAGGTCTTCTGATCGAAGCCCCACGTTCCTTTTCTTGTTGCAGTTGGCGCAGCTACACCCGCTCCACGAGGAAGACAGGGACGCGCCTCGCGAGCGAGGCATGGTGCCCCAGCGGGTGCCCCAGCTGCCTCAGCAGTCCCCAAACGACCGAATCACTCGCGCCGTGCCCGCCAGAGCCAGCATGCAGGCCGGGGGTGGAGTTGGGAAGCCAAAGTTGCCCTGGGGCGCGGCAACAGCGCGGGTAGGCTGTAGGGGTAGTCCAGCAGTGTGTTCCGTGCTAATTCCAGCGCCTCGGGCGCCTGTAGATGCGGCCGGGAGGCGGAAGAAAGACGCAAGCTCGCCTTGATTTGGGGCACCCTGGGGTTCGCAGGCGGCTGAATTTAGGACAGGGATCGGTGCACCCATGTGTCCGACCGCCCCTGCGCCCGCTCTGCTGCCGCCACACTTGTGTGTAGCCCAAGGAGCGGCACAGCACCGCCACACTCCCCGTGGTGCTGAAAGCACGCACAACTAAATCCGGGTGCAGATTGATTTCACGCAGAGCAGGCAGGACGGGTTCCATAAGCTGGCGCAGGCCGCTGCGACGTTGGCGGCGGTGGTGAACGTCGCTGCTGCAGCTGCCGTCTCAATTGCCTCTGCCCTCTCTGCACTTCTCCCGACTTGCACTGAAATCAGGGGGCACCACAGACCTGCCAACCCTGCTGAGCGCCGGCCAAACGGGCAGGCAGCAACCTCGCGACCACAAATGGACTTGGGGCTGCGCAGTCTTCGCTCCCATCTGACAGCCAAGAGTAACTGCACCTGCAGGCTTATCATTATCAGTCTGTATGCCATCATGTTTGCCCCCATCAGGCTCCGCCATGCGAGGCAGGCGCTCTGCCGGTGGGAGCGCCGGCGCCAACCGGCAGCATCCAAGTGGTGTGTGATGCCAGCAGCCCTTGCATGCACACTGTATGTACCATGCCCAGAGCGGCCAAGGCATGGTACATAACCGGCGCAGCATCGACAGTGCGCTGTGTGGAGAGGAGTCTCCCCGTCAGGTGGCTTAGCCGCTGCTTGCAGGGAAGCACCAGCACAGCCCATGTGATGTTTAAATGTGTTTTACATCGCGTAGGAACTCTGTGAGGGTGGGGAGGCAATGTGCAAGGCCAGCTCAGCTGTCGACGTGCCCAAAACGTAGTCACCTCGTGAAAACCCGAACCCCCTGCCACCGCTTCACACCCCTGCAGCCTCCCTTCAGCTTCCTCAAGCCCCTCTGCCGCTCGTTCATAAACAGTCTCACCCACAAACAGCATGGCCGCCACCGCCGTCCAGAACTCCATGTTTGCCGTTGCAGCTGCCAGCGCTGTCGCGGTGGGTGGGTTTGCGGTCTACAAGTATGCCTACAAGAAGGAGGCGCTGCCACAGCTGGTGAGCGGCGCTGCCCCGGCTCTCGCACCCCAGACCGCTTCGGGCCATCACTTGGCAATTGGGGCAGACAGCGCCGAGCCCCCTGGGGGCCGGCGCACCCGCCCTGCAAGTGCAAGCAACGGGCGCCGGCGGGCCGCTCCTCTCATGGCAATAGACCTCCCCTGCCACCCTGCCCCGTGTGTCCTGCAGAACTTCAAGGTCCCCGACCTGGCGGCGCTGAAGGCAAAGCTGCCCACCTGGAAGAAGGCCGCTGCATGAGCGCCCTGCCGCACCAGCCGCACCTTCTCACCCCCGAGCGAACCCCTCCTGACCACCAAACGCAAGCTGCTGTGCCGCACCCGCACGGCTCCCACCCTGACAGCCCTGGGCTGACGCCCACCTTGCTGGCCGCTGTCTGCAAGCCAGGCACCGCCGCGTTATGTGCATTAATTTATTGCTGGTTCACATTGTTACATTGAATGCTCAGTGCCCCATCCTTAGTTTTCGCTGCGTTGCATGCATGAACACAAATTTAGTGGATGAATCGCCTGCCTGATTGAACCACGGCCCCTAGCGACCATTGCGCGCACCCCGCTTCATTCGCGTGCCTACCAGCCCGGGTTGGGCAGAAGCAGCCACACATGCGCATCTTGCGCGTGCCTGTGCCCACTACCCCTTGTAAAATCAGGCTCACCTCACCGCCTCATCAGCATGTTGACTGTGCAGCAACGCTGGGCTTTGGGGAAGCAGATTACGGTGCCTGTCCATTGAGCCATATTCTGAGACCGGCCCACCGCCGCTACCGACTGTGGCAGCAGCAGAACACACACACACACACACACACACACACACTCACTCTCTCTCTCTCTCTCTCTCTCTGTAACATCACAGATCACAGATTGGCCCGGTTCTCAGTCAGTCAGTCAGTTGGCCACTCTCTGACAGTCATTGGGCTGGCTCCCAGGCACCCCCCGCTCTCCCTGCCGCCCGCTGTGCCCAATCGGCTCCTCGCAGCCCCGCGCTCCGCCGCCCTGTCTGACTCGTGCTGTCCAGAGCTAGCTAGGCACAGCTTGTGTGCCTCAAGGCAGTTGACGGGCGTTGCTTCTGTAACATTACATATCACAGTAATCATTATAAAGGAATTGATAAAGCAGGCAAAGGTTTTTCAGGCAAGGTTTTCACTGTCGGTCTCTTTCAGACGATCTCGGCTGTCACGCTCTGGGCTTCAGAGGGAGAGCAGGGGGCCACGCCCCCGCCGCCCGCGCTG